GGAACCTTGCGCCCCTCCTTGGGGAAAAACTGGGGTTTTTATAGGGTTTTAGAGCAGAAGCACTGGTACAGAAGCGAGAGGGCATGGTTACAGGGGGCTGATTGGTACGTTTACACGAGACCACAATTTGCGTCAAAGTTTGGCAGGGGCACCAAGATTCCAGGAACTGGGTGGTCCGGGGGTAGGATGACCCCTTGACGTGGCCCGCCACCTGTTATTTTGTTTTTCCCTATCTTAGCTGAAACAGTCTCACAGATATCTATGAGAATGATTAACACAAACTGTTTTTAGTATGACTGGGGCAGCCTGACCACAGATATCCCAAGTGGGTGACACAGCTAGGATTTTTCAGTAATTTTCCAGTTTCTCATCTGGCCTTTAGAGTTTTATAAAAGAGTGGTGTCTCACAAAATGGCGTTAACTATGTTTAACTTAGTGTGAGGCTGGGGTCTTTCAATGAGATATTTGGGTTCCAGGAACCAAACCCAGGTCCTCTGCAAGAGCAGTAAGTGCTTTTAATCACTGAGCCATCTCTCCGGCCTTATGAGAATTTTTTTCTTTTGTTTTTTTCAAGACAGGGTTTCTCTGTGTAACAAGCCCTGGACTCACTTTGTAGACCAGACCAGGCTGTCCTCAAACTCACAGAGATCCATCTTCCTGCCTCTGCTTCCCTGAGTACTGGGCCTATAAGTGTGCACCACTGTACCCAGCCTTGAACTCATAGAAATCCTCCTGCCTCTGCCTCCCGAGTGCCGGAATTTGAGGCATGTGCCAACATCACCCCTCTCTCTGTGTAGAGCTAAGATGTGAATAGGAAGACCTTTGGTTTGAACACCTGATCTCAACTGAGTTGATGCTTGTGTGAACAGTTCCTGAAAACAAGGGTACTTACAGAGGCTGATGGACAGGTTAGAATTCCAGTACTGTGAAGAGTTTAGAATGTGGCCCAGACACTAGTTACCTTATGTGCTAGTTCTAGCCCTCTGCAACAGCCATTCCTTGTTCACCTGTGTCTGAGGTAACATCCTGTGACTAATAGTGTTATGTTATGCAGGCAATTCAACTGGCCCTTAGAGAGCTTTATGGCCTTGACAATGTCCTATGCTAGGACCTGCGTCCTATGACATCATCTGGGCCAGGTACTTAGTGACCGGTCTGCCCCTCCTCCTTGCTCTCTCCTCTCTCTCTCTGGTCAGGGTGCCCCCTCCCCACATGTCTTTCTCTCTCCTTCCCTCCATCTCCATCTAATAAACTCTTATATTTGTTGTATATGTGTGGCATCATTTTGAAATACTAACAAATAGAAACTTTTAGGACTATTAACAGGCCACCAGCAAGGCATGTGCCACGACGCCTACCTTGAGTCTGCTTTCTTGTAGAAGCCAGGACCACCAGCCCATGGATAGCACTACCTATTGTGGCACACCACGGTAGGCTGGGCCCTCCCCCACCAATCACTAAGAAAATGTCTTACAGCTGGAAAACTGAAGCATTTTCCCAATTAAGGTTCCCTTCCTTGTGGTAATTATGGCTGTGACAAGGTTATGAGAAGCTAGTGGCTGGAGAGTAGGCCCAGTGGTTAAGAGCACTTGTCATGGATCCTTACCACTTCATTGGGCATCAGACATGCATTCGCTTCACAGACAGACAGGCAAAACACTCGAATACACGAAATACAGGAACCTTAAAAAATTAGAGACTCGCCAGCGCAGTCTCTAGAAATTATTTTATGTGTATGCGTGTTCTGCCTGCACACGTGTAGGTGTATGTACCCCTTGCGTGCCTGGTGCCTGCAGAGGTCAGAAGAGGATGTCCTATCTTCAGGAGCTGGAGTTTTAGATGGTTCTGAGCACCATGTGGGTACTGGGAACGCTAGTCTTCTGGAAGATCAGCCAGTGCTTTTAACAACTGAGCCAACCCTTCGGTCCCACACCAAGGCCTAGCAAACTTGCCTTGATTTATGGTTCTCTTCGTTATGTAACACTTCATGAATATGGTGTGTGATCCTGGGCCATGGTCATTCAAAATGACTCCAGAAGAAACTCTCACTCCCTGTAAGATGAGAGTTATGTCTTCTGTTGTTTTTGTAGACACCTGGAAATGACTGCTCTTTTAGAACAATACAGAAATACTGAATAATTTACTAAACTGCCAACTTTGTTTTCTTGGCACAACTGGGCACCTTGGTAAGAGACAGGGTCTCACCAGGAAGTGGCGATGCACACCTTTAATACTAGCACTTAGGTGGCAGAGGCAGACAAATCTCTACTTCTAGGCCAACCTGGTCTACAGAGAGAGCTTCAGGACAGCCAGAGAAACACTGTCCAAAAGATTAAAAAGAAGCTGTTCGGGTGCTTACCTGTATCTGTATGTCCAGGAGGGCATCGGATCCCCTGAAACTTGAGATATGGTTGGGAGTTTTCATGTGTGTGATGGACTTGAGCAACAGCCTTCTAGAGGAGCGGTCAGCCATCTCTGCAGACCCCTCAAAATAAAGTGAGCTCCAGGACAGCCAGCGCTACCCTGTCTCAAAAGGAGATTAGTTTTTTTGAGACAGGGCTTCTCTGTGCAGCCTTGACTGTCCTGGACTCACTCAGCCTCTGTCTTCTGGGATTGCAGTCATGCACCCCCAGCCTTTTCTTTAAAATTTTATTATGTGCACCATGTTCTCTCTACATCTACACACCAAAAGAGGGCATCAGATCTCATTATAGATGGTTGAGCCACGTGTGGTTGCTGGGAATTGAACTCCGGACCCCTGGAAGAGGTTAAGTGCTCTTAACCTCTGAACCATCTCTCTAGGCCAAATTCTTTATTGTAGCATCTAGTCAAGATCCAAGCTGCAGGGAGGGGCTGCAGCTTCACTTTGAAGTCTCCACTGTTTGTTAGTGACGGAAGTGATAAACCCAGGCATCATTTTCTCCAGAAATTTCAATTTTTCAAGATAGGGTTTCTCTAGCTCTGGTTTTCTGTCCTGGAACTCACTTTGTAGACCAGGCTAGTCTTGAACATACAGAGGTCTGCCTGCCTCTGCCTCCAGAGTACTGGGATTAAAGGAGTGTACCACCAGGCAGCAGGAATTACTTTTAGACTAACTGGACTGACTATCCAGTTAGAATTAGGTGTGGTCTTTAGTTCCTATAATCACCATGGGCTGTTCTGAACACAGTTAAATAGTATTTATTACTTATTCTTCTCCATTAAAATTAAATTCCCTGAAGGGACTTAAACATGCTTGATAATCCCGCTACCACTGAGTGATAAATCCAGACCTTTTCTCACTTTTTTTGAGGTGTGTGCGCGCGCATGGGGTCTCACTATATCACACAGGCTGGCCTCGGCCTTGAGGCTCCAGCTTCAGTCTTCCAAGTGCTGGCAAGCCGGTTCCAGCCTGAGTATTTCATTAAGGAATGATGTCCTAGTGGATGGACTTCTGCAGACTTCAAAAATCATGATGGATTACTGAGGGACACAAAGCTTGGCTTCATACTAAAATTTGAAGTATCTGGACTGAAAGACGCATGTTACATAAAATTTGTAACATTTATTTAGGCAAAAAAAAAAAAAAAATCCCAATCTGTACATACAACACTAATACTTCAGTGATGTTCTAAGTGAATACACAGCATGGTTCATGTGCAGAGTACACCAGGCCATAGCTGGGATACCACCAGCCCAGTCAACCCAGAAGATATCTGAAATGCACATACATTCAACTTTCTGATGGCTTTTCATTTCTTGAAAAGAGTTAAACTCCATCGGATTTCAAGCAAGATAGTTTCTCACATGCGGAAAGCCCAGAATTTGACAGGAATCCTGCAAAATTGGAGATTTTTGTCTTTAATTTACTTATTTTGGACTTTTCAGACAGAATCTGTCAGTTTATCCCAAGATGGCCTAGACCTTCTTTAGCAGCTCAGGCCAGCGCCATCAAGGTCCTGCTCTGCCTCCTGAGTGCACATTAAAAAGCTGACTGATTTTCTTCTGTTTACCTGTGTATGGATGTGGGTGAGTGTGCACACGTGGATACAGAGGACAACTTGTGGGAATCGGGTCTCTCCTTCCACTGTGCGGATTCCACCACATGGGCTTCTCGGCAAGCACCTTTACCTGCTAAGCCATCTCACGCACTGGCCCACAAGTCCGTGACTGAGGTTTCTTCAGATTGTCTAAGAATAAAAACCTGGACATAACATTCTTCAATTTTCAGAGGAAAACTACTCTAAAGAGTTTCCTTTATGAAAGTATCTCAGCTTTTCATTACTTAAGGAACTTCTTCCTTCAAAGTTGATTAATATAAGGTTAAGAGTCTGGTGTGCCGGGGGTGGCAGCAAACACCTGTAATCCCAGCATTTGGGAGGCAAAGGCGGGCTCTCTTAAACTCTGTGAGTTCAAGACCAGCCTGATCAACAAAGCCACGTTAGGACAGCCAAGGCTACACAGAGAAACCCTGTCTTGAGAAAAACAAAACCCTCAAAATGTTCCATAAAGTAAGCTCAAAGTCAAGTGTTTAAGTGTTTACCAGTAATAAAATAGATTTATGATTTGCCACAAAGTAATTTTGATAAATTTTGAAAAACTATGAAAACCTCACCTGGTCTACAGATGGAGTTCCGGGACAGCCAGGGCTACACAGAGAAACCCTCTAGATCCGCCGGCCTCTGCCTCTGGAGTGCTGGGATTAAACCGCGTGACGACACATCTGGCTATAATTGTATTTTTGAGGTAGGATCTTATTACGTCACCCAGGCTCATTTTAAACTGGTGACTCCCCTAAGTCCTCAAGCCGCCATCCTGCTTCAGCCTCCCTTGCAGCTGGGAATGTAAGGGTGTAGCCCAAGACAGTGCGGAACCCAGGATCTTCCTGGCCCAGCACTTGCATGTTAGGTTACAGGCATGTGCTAACACACTGCTTGGAATATTTCCACTCCTCGCTGGTCTGTCAGTTAGGCTCTGCTGTGGTAAAGAGCCGTCCTTTCACACAGGAGTAAGAAGCTGCGTTGAGTTTTGCATATTTTATTTTTTAAAAAAGTAGAGCAGTGGGAAGACAGAAAAAGGTTTTCCTCGGGCAATTAGTCATCATAGCGTTTTGGGTTAAGATCTGGAAACAAATGCATGTACCACAGAGTCCATGAAATGCTAAGTAACACAAAGCCACGATGAACCTAAAACTCAAATGCAAAATTGTCTATCCTACTCTTACTCCTCTCGCTGGTGGATTTGGCATTATTACTAAAATGAACACTTTGGGTTAACACTGAAAATTAAAAATGCATCGACACACAACAAATGACGACCAAACATCCAACAACCACGAGATTAGCAAAGTCATCTGAAACTGTCACAACAGACTTAGGAAGGACAGCAGTTAGCAAACCTCTCTGCTCAGAGCAGTTCTGACCCAAACACACAAACTCTCCACATTAACAATATGCAGATAAAACCACAAGGGCCGGCATCAGCTGAGAGTGGGCCTTTAACCTATGCCTGCAGTGGGTTAACAACGTAAATCACCGTGAACGTCCCACAAGAACCAACCAATAAAACTGCGAGGAGACCCTGCAGGTCATCATTACAGAACAGTTTACCTCTGTTCCCTCTTCTCCCCCTTGAGTCTTGAGTACCGCCGCACACGGTTCTAGGCTCCGGGACGAGGAGGGTGCATTTTAAAACACTAAGCCAAGCCTGGCTCGGTTCACTCTAACAATCCCAGCACTCGGAGGGCTGAGGACAGCCTCTAGTAAAGACTATCTCAAAAAGGCAAAACCTTGTTGGGTATGGTGGCCCATGACTACCATCCCAAGCACTTAGCATGAGTGAAACAGAGTGCAAAGTCATCCTCAGATACGTCATGAGGTTTTGAGACCAGCTTGGTCTACAAAAAAAGATCCTGTCTCAAATAACAAAACCAAACCAAAAACTGGGCTGAATTTACTGTTTGTTAATTCACCCCATTTTGGCCCAGTAAATGTTTTCATGAGCATGTTACCAAAGGGGGAAAGTATGGTCAAAGGGCACCAGAGACAGACCAGTGTTATTTTAACACATTCTGTAATTTCAAACAGCCACACGGAAGAGACATAAGTCAGGTAGGCAGTGTGCTTGGGGAACACAGGCAGGACAGTTGAGACAAGCTAGCTCTCGTTACATGAGACAAAACAAAGCAAAACAAAAAACAAAAAAACCACCAGTAACTAAAAATATTGACTAGGAAGAGCACGGACCAGAATGAAAGGATTCATTAGTAAGAGAAACTTCATTAACTGGATTTTTATGATTGATGCATTTTTTTTTCTCTTTTTGAGACAAGGTCTCACTAGGTGGCCCTGGCTGTCCTGGAATTATGTAGACCAGGGTAGACTTGAACTCACAAAACTCCACCTGCCTGTGCTTATGCCTCCAAGCACTGGATTAAAGGCACGTGCCAGCAAGCATGGCTGGTTGGTGGTTTTAAACATGGATCTTTGATTCTTTAGAAACAAAAACTATAGAAGCAAACTTCTAAGATGGTGATGGTTTCATCCCTCCTCACCCTGGGTAACCCTGACCGGCCTTTGCTGCCCAGGGTCACAAGCAACAGGAATTATGGCCAACTCCTGAATTTGCTGGTCTGATAGGATTTTTTTTTTTAATCCTCAGTTAAGATCAGTAGCTGCTGTGTCCACCCCTACCCCCTATTACCTCTTTTTGTTTGTTTTTGTAGACAGGGTTTCTCTGTGTAGCCTGGGCTGTCTTGGACTTTTTGTAGACCAGGCTGGCCTCCACCTCACAGCCATCCACCTACCTCTGCCTCCCTGAATGCTGGGATTACAGGCGTGCACACCAAACTCGGCTCCCTATCACTTCTTCACTTGTTATTTTCTCGATAACTTTAAAATGAAAACACTAAGAATCCTTTCTTTTTTTGATAATAGGAGTTGAACTCAGGGTCCCTCACTCCAATACTGTGCTGAGTACATTCTCAATCTACAAGGAAAACACATCTCAGCATATAAAGATCTCAGCAACTTACTCGGTGCACAAAAACCAGATGCTTTCTTTGATTTGCTATACTTTATTTGTTTACACTCTTACAAAGTCTAATTCCATTTCCTTTCCAGGAGCCGTGTTGAGGACTGGGGGCCGCAGATCCAAGCCTTGCCATTGCTGACCCAATCGTCTGTGTCTAAGTACAGTGATGAGTTCAACAGGGTCATTCAGATTAGTCTAACCTGTGTCTGAAAGTGCACCCGTAGGCCAGTGACTGTGGGGGTACCAAGTGCTTACACTATGGTCTCCAATTACAAGGGAGCCATGTATAGGCTGGCTGGACATTTATACTGTATAAACATACACATATGTATTTATTATATTTTTGTTATATGCAGAACTTTATTGAAAAATCTGGTTTGATGGCTTTAAGAAACATCCCAGAAGGCGGGCATGGTGGTGCACACCTGTAATCCCAGCACTTGGGAGGCAGAGGCAAGTGGATCTCTGTGAGTTCCAGGCCAGGCTGGTCTACAAAGAATCCAGTACAGCCAAGGCTACAGAGAAACTCTGTCTCTTAAAACAAAGACAAAGTAAAACAGAAGAACCACCCCACAGCCAGACCCAACAATAGCAGTACTTGCCTGTAATCCTCTGACTAACTCAGGAGTCAATTGAGATCAACATATACCACAGCCTTGGTCTACGTGTAGTGAGAGTCTATCTTGATAACAAAAAACCACCACCACCCAACAAACAAAACGAAAAACACAGGTGCTAAATCTTGATATATTTGGGATACGATCAGTTACTTTGGGTTTGTGGTTTTTTCAGTTTTTCAATGTAGCCCTCCCTGGCCTGGAAAATATAAATTGAAACATTTTTGAATCGTTATCTATCAGGTTATTCTGAATATGTCTATAGGTTTTTTGACCATTTCTGCTTTTCAGATAGGCGTCAGGTAACCAACGCTGGTTCTGAGTTTGCTAAGGTGCTAGGGATACGGAGATTACAGGTGTAGTCCTGTAATAACACACCTGGTTGGGTGTTTCTAAAACTCTGTAAACGAAAGGCTAAGTAGCCGGCAGGAGCACACTCTTCCATCCTGACATTTGAAGCCAAAGTTCTTAAATATCCCGGAAGTACACTCGGTAGGCTTGGTTGTCGGCACGCCCAACTTGCAAGCGACCGCAGACTATCCTATTATCAGAATTTTGCCTTCCATTGTGGGGGAAACGTCAACAAAAAGCAGAAATGCCTTTGAAAGAATTTTCTTTTCTCTGAAATATGTTTAACTATGAAAAATGCATCCTTTTGTGGAAGAGGCTGTTGAGACAAGCACCACTTGGTAGCCCAGGCTAGCCTTAAACTTTCAATACTTTGTCTCTCCATGGTGGATCATGGGTTTGAGCAACCACCTCAGGTGAAAATGTGTCTGACAGCTCTAAAAATCCATGAACCAATGATGGAAGAATTAGACCACAGTTTTATATGGCTTTTTGATAATTCCATGTATCTGTTTCCGTTTGATTCAGTATTCATCCCTATGAAGGAAGACTGAAACATTCAAGTATGAGCGTGACAGCAGTACGACAGCATTACACAGGAGTCAGACATGTTAAAAGCACACGAACAAATCAATCAGCTTATTGGTTGTATTTACAGACTGGGTCTCTCATAGTCCAGGCTGGCTTAGAACTCACATTCTTCTCACCTTCATTTTCCATGTACTAGGATTAGCAAACCCCAGGCCCAGCTTAAGCTAGCTCCTTTCTAAACTGAAATATTCCTGACTTAAAGGTCTAGTGACAACATTTTAGACATACACAAATGTGTCAGAAGAGAGTTCAGATCAACCCTACTCTCAAAACAAGACACTGTTGCACTTACTAGTTTTGAGATGGGGTCTTGCTATCTAGTCCAGGCTGGCCCTGAATACCACCTGCTCCTTGGTGTTCTGGATTGCCTCGGGCTCCCCTTCAAATAAAACTTTGTTCTGTTTGGTGAGAGGAGCTCCCCAGATTGCCCGGCTGGCTTGCAACTCTGTGGCCAAGGCTTACCTCCGACTGTAATTCCTTCTGTCTAACCCTTTTGAGTACTAGATTATAGGTCTGAACCAGCTTAAAATGAAAAATTTAATGGAAATTGAGTTTGTTGATAACTTGCTGCCTCCCAGGTTTATAGGATGAAAACTGATTATTATATCAGTTATCTTTAAAAAAGACAACTGTCTAAAAAACAATCCAAAAACATTTTCTTTTATCCACATTTAGCCATTCAGCAGCAGCCTGCTCTTCTGCATATTTTTCTAACATGAACACATAATGAAGACACAATAAATGTCACTCTGTAATACAGGCTGGCCTCAAACTCACAGCTCTCCTCCTGCCTCAGTCTCCTGAGTCATAACATTACAGGCATGAGCCATGTATTTCTGACAGATAAACGTATTTGAACAGAAGAAAAGATTAACTTTTTGGTGTATGTGTGGTGCTGGGGATTGAATTCGTACATGCTAAGAATACACTCTACCACTGAGCCACACCCCAACTCAAGGTTAAATTTTTGCAACAAGTTTTCTGTTGTCAATTGTACCTTAAACAAAGTAACTCTATGAATAGTCTCTATTCCACTGAAAAAGAATGACCTTGGGAAAGAAGGGATAAAAATAGCTATTTTAACCAATGACACTGTAAGAATGCACTTGTTTACAGCATGAGTGTCCCGGCGAGGCTTCCACGAAGGTGCTGTGATGTCTAGTGTGGCGCTGAGGGAGTATCTCTAGAGTGAATGTAGACACGTCCCCTTCAGCATGGAGAACGGCTTCTGCTCCAGCCTCAGGAGCGGGACACCAGGAGAACCTGTTCCATTTTCAGAGCTAAAGCACAAAAGCAATTTCTAGATCCTTTTCAACTCTGTCCTTCTTTCGTAGTTTTTCTTTCTTTTATGTTTCTTTGACTGCCATCCAGGCTCCTGAGAGCAAAGAGCTACCAGAGAGACATCTTATGAAAGATACACAGAATGGAGGCATTTTAACAGAAGCAATATAAACTTATAGCTGAGACAGAGCTGTAGGCAAGGCAGCAGCCCTGCTCTCCGGCAAGAAAAGTCTGCGTAAGAGTTCGTGCAATTTATCATGAAACTATAGAATCTCAAGCTCAGGTTAAGTTCAAACACTGAAAGATTTCCTAAGAGACAAATAATGAAGGAAGACCTTTCTTGCCTCATAAGTTAAAAATCACAAGACAAATCAGACTGTTCACATGGGCAGTACTGTACATTCCCAATCCCAAATGGGTCACAGGGCTCTTACCATAGACACCCCCACACACACCAGAGTGCACGCTGCTGAATGAACCAACCACAAAAATGATTCCCACTGTTGATTCTCCAACTATCTATGGCTATTAGTTCAGTCGGGCCTGGGGCTGCTTTTTACAGGGAGGGGGCCTTCCGTGGCGCACAATGTGTTTCTCTAAACTGTCCAGAATGGCTACAGCTATCTGTTGGACGTAGGGGTCTGTCTGCTCGTGCTCTTTGATGTTATATAAATGCTGCAGTCCTCCTTCTTCAATCAGCATGCTGCAATACCTTGAAGCTGAAAGGAAATACCAAGAGTGTTTTGAAGTTATCCCACAAACAAAACAAGTTCTTCAGAGCTTAAAACAACAAAAGGCACATCAAAGGCCATGCATTTTTTAGACAGGATCTTACTATGTAGATTTGGTGGTGCATGAACCGAATCTACACAGTAAGACCCTGCCTAAAACAAACAAACACCCTCAAAAATCAGGGGTCCTTCCCTATCAACCTCTACTTTATTCCCTTAAATTCACGAATCTTAATAAAAAATATTATGTGTATGGGTGTCTTATACATATATGTCTGAATACATTTTGCATGGCAAGGCCCTGAGAAGGCCAGAAAAGAGTATCAAGTCCTCTGGAACTAGAGTTATGGATGGTTTGAGTCACCATGTGAGAGCTGACAACCTTACTCAGGTCACCTGGAAGAGCAGGTGCTCCTCCTAACTACTGAGCCATTTCTTTAGCCCAGCTGGTTTTTAAGTATGCCTATTCTCTCTCTCTCACACATATACATACCCTTTTGTTTTTTGTTTTTCTTGTGAGACAGGCTCTTGTTATGCAGGCCAAACGGCCTTTAAACTTTCTCCCACCATGCTTCAATTTCCTGAGTGTTGGAACACGAGTGTGCCACCAAGCAGATCTGCCACACTCTCTGGAAGAATTTGCTTTAATTCATAACCTCAACCTCTTATTTTTTAAAAAGTCAGTGTCTGGGGGTTGGGATGATGCCTTTGAGGGTATGGAAACTTGCTGTCCAAGAAGGAGAGCCTGAGTTTGAAACCTAGCATCCACATAAAAGGCATGACCGTGCGTGTGTGTGTGTGTGTGTGTGTGTGTGTGTGTGTGTGTGTGTAACCCCAGTGTTATGGGACAGAGAAAGGCAGGTCTCAGGAAGCCTCCGACCAGCCAACCTACCAGAACAGCAAACTCAAGGTTCAGTACAGTAAGGCAGGCGGTGGTAGAAAGACACCACCTCCTCCACTGCACGTCAAATATGTGTGCACGGACCCACGTGCACTCAGAGTCGCAAGTACGCCACATGCACACTACAAAGTAAACACACTTAGAAATCAGTGCAGCCGGGGCTGTGGCGCACAGCCCCAACCCAGTGCTCGGGAGGCAGACGCAGCCGGATCCACTCGGGGTCCAGACAGGCCTAATCTACCAATTCTACTTGAGTTTGAGGCCAGTCTGGTCTACAAATCGAGTTCCAGGACAGCCAGGGCTACACAGAGAAACCCTGTCTCAAAAAACAAAAACAACAAACATAAAAGGCTTTCTGGAGGCTGGGGAGGTGGTTCGGCAGTGAAGAGCACCGCACGGTGGCACATGACTCCAGTTCCAAGGACCCTTGATAGCATGTAAATGTTGTACAGACATACATGCAGGCAAGGCACCCATACCCATGGTATGGCTAGCCTGAGCCACACCGAGAGTTCAATGCCAGCTTGCCAGGACTAAAAAGGAAAAACTCAAAAACCTCTCACCCCCGCTTCCCCCAAGTCACTTTCTGTAGAGAACTTCATTTGCACCATAGTTCTATTTTTGGTACATACGGTTCTTGCTGCAGACATGCTGCATGGCCCAAACTGCCCATAGCTGGACTCCTGGCGTCGTAAAACACCCAAGTAGTGGAAAAAATGGATTAAAGGACCTAAAAGTTCAAAAAAAAAAAAAAAAATCAAACTCACATTTTATACAAAGTATCATTTTTAAAGCAGCGATTATTACATCTTTAAGAAAATACATGCCACTTCTAGACTGATAGTAACACTTTCAGAGAGGATTACACTGAGATACACCTTGATACTGTAGAAGAAGGGAGTGTGAATCTTTCAAAAGGTTTTCTTTTTCATTTTTGGTCTTCCAATTATATTGGAAAAAAGCACACTGTTTGTTTGTTTGTTTGAAGACAGGGTTTCTCTGCAGCCTTGGCTGTCCCGGACTCACTTTGTAGACCAGGCTGGCCTTGAACTCGCAGAGATCCTCCTGCCTGAACAGTGATGGCACACACTGATTTCCAGCACTCAGGAGGCAGACAGCAGAATCCCTGTGAGTTCAAGGCCAGTCTGGTACAGAGGGACCCTTCAGAGCGAGTTCTCTCCTTCCACTGTGGCTGAAAGAGCTCTACCTCAGACTGTCAGATACACTCTTTACCCAGGGACCATCCTGCCCACCTGCTTCTGTCTCTTGAGTGCTGGCATTATAGAGATGAACCACCGCACTGGGCCTTAAGACACATACTTTAAAGACCTTGATTTGTTTTGTTTTGCTTTTTTAGAGATTTATTATTTATATAGTATTCTGTCTGCATGTGTGCCTGAACGTCAGACGAGGACACCAGATCTCATTATAGATTGTTATAAGCTACCATGTGGGTGCTGGGAATTGAACTCAGGACCTCTGGAAGAGCAGCCAGTGCTCTTAACTTCTGAGCCATCTCTCCAGCCTCCAAAGACCTTGATTTGTAAAGCAGAAAATTGGAGACAGGGATAACTAGCGGAACACCACGAAGAGGGTATAGAATTTGCCTGTACTGATCTAAACAAATCTGTGTTTAAACTGTGGAGGAGCTAGAGAGCTGGCTCAGCAGCCAGCAGCCCTGGCTGCTCTTCCAGGGGATGCCGCTGAGATTTCCAGCACCCACATGGTGGCTCACGGCCATCTGCAGTTCCGATTCCAGAGAATCCAATGGCCTCTGAGGGCAACGCATGCAACATGGTGCACTGACACACAACCAGGCCAGACACCCTTACAGATAAAGTTAAAATCTCAAAAACCTGAAGAAGTCAAAATACTGGTATATATGAAGTAGCCCACAACAGTAAGCTGGAATGAAATTATGTAGCGATGAGAATATTTCAGACAAGTTGCCTAGCTTACCAGCTAACTGTCATAGAAGGACTACCCTTCCAGAATGCCAGTTCTGTTGTTGTTTTGGGGGAGGTAGGTTGGGAGCTGAGTGATAGGTCTCATGTACCCCAGGCTGACCTCAAGCCTGCTCTGTAGCCTAGGATGACCTGCAACTTCTGATCTTCCTGCCTCTACCGCCCCATCACAGGCAGGGGCTGTCACATGCAAGTTTACGTGGTGACAGGATCACAAACCCAGGGTTTTATGAATGACAGAAATCACTGCCAGGCATATAACCCCAGCCCTCTTGGTCATCTTTAAAGAGCAGATAACAAATTTCAGGGCTCTGCCTTCAAAAACTACAGAATAAAGAAAGAGCTGATGACTGAATAGTAGAAAATAAGTCGAAACCCTTTTTTATTTTTAGCCGCCCTGAGATAGGATCTTGTCCTGCAGACCAGGCTGGCCTGGGACTCGGCAGTCCCACCTCAGCCTCCTCAGCGCGAGGTTGTGAGCATGCACAACAGGCAGCCATCTGACTTTCCTCAAACCAGTGCTATGACTGGACTTGAAGTAAAGACTGTACGAACAGCAGCAAGCTTACTTAATAATCGTGTTAATTACCTGTATGCTACCATCTCACACTCTGGAGTTGGCCACTTCAAAATAGCTGAATGCTGGAAGACACAAGACATAGGATATACTATGGTATTTATTTTTAACAGTTACTTCATTATGAAGCATTCATATTTAACCATTACAAATGTAGCTTGTGTCATTCCACATGACCATACCAAATCATCAAGAAGAGAGTTCCTCTGGCTTCGGCTCAGGGTCCACGCTTGCTCACCCCTGGAGATAAGGTGGGCAATGATTCCAGCTGCAAAGTAACTGACTTCAACCTCGACACTGTGCAGGAGACTGCTGATGTGGTCTATGAAATCCTTCCACATTAATTCAGAATGCAGCTCTTGTACTTCAGCTATATTGTTCTGGGAGGAAAAGAGGTATAAAAGTCAGCCTTATACTGGGGCCATGGCTAAGAGAACTGTTCTCAAACACTAGGTAGCACACGCTAATGATGATCTCTGAGAAAGCATGCAAGCTGGGCAGTTTGCAATTAAGGCAAGGGGAATCGTAGTAGCTTGAATGATTAATGGCCCCCAGCGTTGGATATTTGAATACTTAGTCCCCAAGCATCGCCTTGTTGGAGAAGTTTGTCACTTTAAACTTTAAAGGGGGCACACGTTAAAGTTTCAAAGCCTCGCACCATTCTGGTGTGCCCCTTCTTGCAATCCAAGATGTGAACTGTCAGCTTCTGTTCCTGCTGCCATCACAGACTCTTTTTTAAAAACATTTTTTGAGATTTTTTTTTTTTTAATGTGTGTGAATGCCTGAATATATGTCTGTGTACCAGTTATGTGCAGTGCCTACACAGGACAGAAACGGGCGTCAGATCCCCCGGAGCTGCAGATGGTTGTGATTCTCCATGAGGGTGCAGGGACTTGACCCCAGGGTCCTCTGAAAAGCAACCAATAGTCTTAACTGCTGAGTTTCCAAATCACCGTCGCATAGGATGGCTCCACTTCTCCAGTGCTGGCATTAAATACTACCAGGCTCATTTTTTTCTTTTTCTTCTTTTTCAAGATAGGGTTTCTCTGTGTAGCCCTGGCTATCCTGGAACTTTTTCTGTAGACCAGGCTGGCCTCGAACTCAAGCCTGCCTCTGCCTCCTGAGTGCTGGGATTAAGTGTGTGCCACCATTGCCTGGCTACACACATTTTATACAGTGCAGAAGATCAACCCAGGGCTTTATGTATGTTAGGCAGGCACTTAACTGAGCTACATCCTCAGTTTGATTTTTTAAGACAGACTCTTCCTAGGACACTAGGCTAGTCTTGAACAAACTATGTAGCCCACCCCTGTCTTAAATACTATTATCTTCCAAACTCAACAGCCTAAGTTCTATGATTACAGAGGTGACCAGGCTCCAATAGTTCATTCATTCACTTACTTATGCTTCTCTTCTTTTTTTTGAGATAGAGTCTCACTATGTAATCCTGGCTATCTTGGAACTCACTATGTAGACCACAGAAATGCGCCTGCCTCTGCCTCTGCCTCTTGAGTGCCGAGATTAAAGGATATACCACCACACCGGGTTTGTTTTTCTAATTTAATAATTATATTTCCCACTGTCACTAGATGGTCAAAAATAACACAACACCACCTTCCTGTATTTCTTTTGTTTTTTAGACAGGGTATCACTACTGTAGTTTAGCTCTGAGCTCACAAAACTCTGCCTATACTACCATACCCAGCCTTTCTTTCTCTCTTTTTTTTTTTATTTGTTTTTGGAGATAGGGGAGCCCTATCTGTGTAGCCTTCGCTGTCGTGTAGTATTCCGTAGTCCAGGCTGGCTGTGAACTCATGGCGATCTGCCTGCCTCTAAAGGTGTGTGCCACCACCACCTGGCATGCTTGCGCTCTCTCTCTCTCTCTCTCTCTCTCTCTATGAGCATCATGTGACCCTGGCTATGTAGCAGAGGATGCTTTGAACTTCTGATTCTCCTGTCCCCACTCTTTACCTCAAGTAAGAAGATTACAGGTATATATAATCTCATTTTTATACTTTATACTCATATTTTATATAAGCACCAACTTTATATGATGCAGAGTCCAATGGAACCCAGATTTCATGCACGCTAGACAAGCATTCTACCAACTGACTTACATCCCAATTTATTTATCTATTTAAAGAGTGAGTGTGTGTGTGAGAGAGAGAGAGAAAACGAGAGACAGAGATCTCTCACATGTGGAGGTCAGAGGGTATCTTGCAGGCATGTTCTCTTCTATCATCAGGTGGTTTCTAGGACCAGCTTTTTGTTTGTTTGTTTGGTTTTGTTTTTCAAGATAGGGTTTCTCTGTGTAGCTCTGGTTATCCTGGAAATCACTCTGTAGAAAAGGCTGGCCTCAAACTCACAGAGACCCTCCTGCCTCTGTGTGCCACTGTGTCCCGCCTAGGTTCAACTCTTAGCATCAGGCTCAGCAGCAAGCATCCTTTCCAGCTGAGCAGTCTGGAGGGCCCAAACAGCAACTTCTAATGTACACACTCAGACAGAAATAATTACAGCTTATAATTTACCAGGAAAGGTTTATCTTACCAAGAGCCCTAGAACTTTTTGTTGAATGGATGACTCGGTTGGGAAAGACTACAAAAGAAAGAGAAAGAAACAAGTATAATAAATAATAAATAAATGCTCAGAGCCCAGTCATGTCCAAACAGTCAGGGAGGCCCGCTCTAACCTCTAGAACCCTCATGAAGAGCTCCAACCCTTGATTCTCAATGAAGTGTCTGCACGTGGTTGGGGATTCATCTGTGAGGTTCCAAAGTGCACTCAAAGTAAATTTCAATGTCGTATCCACTGAATTTTGATTAGTTTTCTGCTTCACTATCTGAAGGAGTTGCTAAAAGAAAAAAAGGATTAAGTTTTCATTATGAATTATCATAATGAGATGACCAATGACCACGAGTCCACAGGGACTCATCTCCTCGCTTAAAGCATTCCCTGTAAGTGCTCTAAAAAGATAAACTATTTATTTATTCAGTGTGGGTGTGGGCACACCCATGCCACAGCATGTGTGCAGCGGTCTGCAAACAGTTCCCAGGAGTTGGTTCTCTTTCCACCAGGAGGATCGTGACTTGGATAGTGTTGCTCCTGTGTGAGGGTCTCTGCTGCTGTGACGAAACACCATGACCAACATCGTCTTGGAGAAGAAAGTCTATTTTACTTTACAGCTATAGTCTGTCCTCCAGGAAAGCCAGGAGGCCACTGAGGAACACTCATCCGCTGCTCTCTAATACAGCCCGAGCACTGTGTGTTCTGAAGGTCTGCCATCCACAGTGAGTGAGGCCCCTCCTCAGCAGTCACCAACAGGAGAAGTGCACTAGGCAACTGCCTCCAGACCAATCTCCTGGAGGCATTTTCTCCATGCAGAGCCCCTCTCCACAGTGACTGTAGCTTGTGTCAGGGTGACTAGCCCTGGGTTGCAATAGCAATACTTCCTCAAGAAACAACACAAAAACAAACTAGAGCTAGCAAAGGTGGCTCCTCAAAAAGAGGTGCTTCCTGCTGAACCATCTCACTGGTCTTGAACCAACTATATTAGTCATAGCGAATGTACCATTATAATAAAACCTGGAACTTTAAAAAAGGAATGGGGGGAAGCCAGTCAGTGTTGGTAGCGGGGGTGCACACCTTCATTCCAGCACTGCGGAGGCAGAGGCAGGTGGATCTCTGAGTTCAAGGACAGCCTGGTCTACAAAAGGAGTTCCAGGACAGTCAGGGCTACACAGAGAAACTTGTCTGGAAAAATTAAAAAACAAAAAAGAAAGAATAAGGGAAACAAAGTAGTCCTTATTAACTTACAGTAGATGATACCTATAGTGCTGTTTTCCAGGGACATAAACTGAATCTAAGAAATATTGAGTAATTTGGTCACAATCAACTTGGTAAAAGAATTTGAAAGCCCAATTCTAAAAATTTCAAGTTTTCTTTAAGAAAAAAGGAAAAGACAGCTGTACACCTGGGACTTGAGAGGCTGCGGCAGGAAGACAGTCACAACCTCAGGTCCCTCTTGAGCCACACACACAGCGGTGTCAGAATTAAAGTCTACCCTGGGTACTAAGATAATGATGGCTTTAACGTGTCTTCTTGTAAACGACATCTATCTTAACTAGCCTAGGAAATGCACTTTGCGAGCCAGGCATGGTGGCACATACCTTCAGCCCCAGCTCTTAAGAATAGCTCTGGGTTCAACCTCAAAACATCAGACTTAGCTGTTACCACCAGTACTGTTACCTCTGCACACGTGAAACACATCAAGTAGACCGCTTTCTTAAAATCTCTTCATGTACATTCAGCCAGCACTGCTGAGATAGCCCTCTTACTGAGACAGTCTCATAAGTAGCCCGGGATAGCCTAGACCTCGCCAAGTCTGGTTTGAACTCACAGAGATCCACCTGCCTGTCTCCCAAGTGCTGAGATTAAAGGCAGGAACCACCAGGCCTGACTCCAAAAATGGCTCTTTTTATTTATTTTTATTTCCAATAAAATTAATATTATTTTAAGTGTATATGTGTGTGCCACAGGTGAGCAGCTGCCCACGGAGGCCAGGAGAGCAGCGTGTCCCCTTGAAGTAGAGTTGCAGGTGACTGCGGGCTACTCAGAATGGCTTTTTTAAATTGAACCCAGGTCCTCTGCAAGAACAGCAAGCACTCTTCACGGGAGCCCTGGACTGACTGTTAGCTCACAGCTGTTTGCATCTGCCAAGGACTAAAGCTACACCTAAAAAGACAAAAACAAAAAAGGGTATCTGGCCTGGGGCAGTGGCTCAGGGGCTAACAAGCACTGGCTGCTCTCTGCAGAGGACCTGGATTTGCCTCCCCGCATTCACATGGTGGCTCACAACCACCCCTAACTCCAGTTCCAGCTGTCTGCCATCTTCTGACCTCTGCAGGCACCAGGCATTCACATGGTACACGTTCATACATGTGGGCAAGACTCATACACAGAAAACAGAAAATAATACAAGGCTCAGTGTGGACCATCTGCCTGGCATAGGCATCAATCCCTTACTCTACAAGTGAATTAAAAAAAAAAAAAAAAAAACAAGTTGAGTATTTTCATGTAGAAAGGTGAAGGAGCCTGAGGGATGCTCAGTGGTTGAGTTCTATCAGTTAAGAAGTACTATCAGTTCTTCCAGAGGTCCTGAGTTCAATTCCTAGCACCTACACAGTGGCTCACGACCATCTATCACCACAGTCTCATGGGATGCCCTCTTCTGGTGTGCAAATGTTCATACATACATAAACAAACACGAAGAAAAAGTGAAATAATTAAGAAATAGAGAAAGAGGCTGGGATTGGGGTGGTTCCATAATACAAAGCTGACCTCACATGTGTGAGGCCCTGGCTGAGAGCCCCAGGGACAGGCACCCACACCTACTCACAAGATACAACACCACACCACTTGTCAGGAAAAATAAAAGAATACTGTCAGGGACTGGAGAATGGCACACTGGTTTAGAGCACTGGCTGCTCTTCCAGAGGACTTGGGTTCAATTCCCAGCACCCACATGGCAGCTCACAACATCTGTAACTCTAGCCCCCAGGGATCCAATGCACTTTTCGGACTTCCAGAAGCACCAGGCCACCTCTGCATATTACACAGATATACATGGAAGGAAATTACCCGTACACATTAAACACATTTTTAAAAGCTTTTTAAAAAACGACACCACACTCTACGCAGTGGCCTAAAAAGAGGGACAGTGAACTCACCCTGACGATGAAGAGCTCAGCACCAAGCTGTGCAGTTTGTTCTGTAGAAAGCTGGAACAGACACAAAATAAAGCAAGCGTTCAGAATTAACTGGTTTGCGTTCACTCTAATTTACCATACCAGCTTCGCGACCAGCCTGAAATAGCTCCCCAGCCTCCAGTTCTGCAATACCTAACACAGTTAACTAGGCAGGCTAGTGGGGAGGTGGCTCGCTTTTCTGAGGCACAGACGGGGCAGTGGTGGCTGCATTGAGAGACAGCTGCCTTTAGGGGTGCTCAGCAAAGCTCAGGTACCTTGGCCGCCAGGATGGAGATGATGGCAACGGCCATCCTCTGCATGTTTTGATCTTCGTGGTTGCAAAGCCACTGCATGACAAGCTTGGCGGCCTCAAACCTGAAAACACAAGAGACTTTCCTCAATCTTGGAGATCCAGGCATGACACCAGGGAGCCAGGTAAGGGATGATGGTACAACTGAGTGTGTGGGAAGGAAGGGACGCTTCCTCTTAATGAGAGAGTGACAAATCAGCAGTTAGTGTTTTGGAAATGTTGCCTTTTTGGCTTCTTTCCGGGACCGAGGATGGCCCTGGAGCCTTACCTAGGCCCATGCTCTACCACACAGCAATGTCCCCAGCTCTTTATTTTACTTATTTATATTGTCTGTTATTTTTACTTTACTTACTAGTAGTGTGTGTTTGTCTATGATGTATATGAGTGTGCATGCAGCTGGCAGAGGACAACTTCGGACAATCAGTTCTTTCCTTCCACTGTGGGTTCTAAAGTTTGAATTTTTTCCAGCTGAGCCATCTTGCCAGCCCTGATTTATGTCTTTGAGGTAGGGTCTCATGTAGCGCAGGCTGTCCTCAAGCGCTCTGTTCAGCCAAGGATGAGCTTGAACTGCTGATCTTCCTGCCTCCACCTTCCAAGTGCTGGGATTACTGGCATTTGCTACCACACCCAGCTCTTGGTTTTTATTCTGAAGACAGAGTCTTGATGAACTGCTGTGATTATAGGCCTGCACCACTGCGCTCATCAAAATGACAGCAATGGAAGAGAAACAGGAGCATCGGGGCTGAGCAGACAGCTCGGCTGGTAGAGAGCTTGCTGTGCAAGCGTGAGGACCTGAGTTGAACCCCTAGCCACCAGGTAAAAGAGCTCGGCATGGCAGCGCATACCTGTAATCTTAACATGGGAGGCAGAGACAGGAGGATCCCTGGACTTGCTGGCCAGCCAGTCTAGCCCACTCCGTGAACTCCAGGTTCAGTGAGAGACCCTGTCTCAAAAAAATAAGGTGAGGAGCAATTGAGGAAGACACCCAATGTCAACCTCTGGCTTTCACATTGATACACATGCACATTACACACACACACACACACACACACACACACACACACACTATGTAGAAAAACTGGCATTTTATCTTTAACAATGAAAACATTTCAGTATTTCTACATCACAGCTTTAAGCATATTCTGTTAAAAACTTTAAAAATCAGTTATTTCTATTTGAGTGTGAGCACATTCTCACACAGCATGCATATGGGGTTAGAGGACAACTCGAGGGGTCACCTCTGCCCTTGTACTGTGGGTCCTAGGGACCGTTAGGCTATGACTTGCCTGTTAAATGGGACATCTTGAAGAATCCGGTCACTGCAAAGGGAAAGGAGGCAATTCTTCTGTAACTGAAGGGTTAAAAAGGAGAGAAAGAGAGAGAGAGAGAAAAAAAAAAAACTGAATAGAACATCATTGTGTTATGTTTTGGCCAAAGACGGTCTTTAATTTTTTTTAATTCTGTTTAAATGTGTGTGAGAAGGGTATGTGCACGCGAAGGGCTCCTGACTGAACCCAGGCTCATGACTGCAGGGCAAACACCCCAACTAAACTCTACCCCCAGCTCCCCTCACTGTTTTTAAATAATCTTGAAAAACACAATTTTTTTTGTCTTAGTTTGAGACAGAATCTCCCAATTATGTGGCTTTGACTGTCTAGAATCTTGCTATATAGACTAGGCCGGCCTCAAATTATCAGAGATCAACCTGCCTCTGACTCCAAAGTGCTGGAATTAAAGGTGTGTACCAAAATTTTGTTCTTTAAGTCAGTTCTTTAAAATTGCTATCAAGAATAAATTGACTCTTTCAGGAATTTTTGTACTTTTAAACATGGAAATTCTATTTAGGTTTTGTATCAATACATTAAATTAAGATCCTTGAGAGCCCCTGAACTTTAAGAAAGATCTTTATTTTATGAGTGGTTTGCCCATGTGCATACATACACACAACATGTCTGCCTGAGATCTAAAGTGGCCAGAAGATGGAGGTGGATCCCTCAGAGGCTGTGAGCCTCCCTGTTGGTACTGGGAACCAAGACCGGGTCCTCCGTAAGAGCAAATAGTAACCACTAAGTCAACCCTCCAGACCTCACCCCACTCCTCACCCCGCTGTTAGTTTTGATTCATGTTCTCATGCAGCAAGGCTGGCCTCTAACTCACTATGTAGCTGAGAATGGCTCTAAACCTTTACTCTTCCTGCTTTCCCCTCTGAAGTGCTGGGGTTACAGGCAAGCAAGTATATGCAAGCAAGTATATGCACTATCCCCAGAGAAGGGAATGCGGGCTTTGTATATTTAAGGCAAGCACTCTCAACTCAGCTGTTCTCTTAGGCCCCAGTGCTACACTTTGCAGGAAGCTGGCCTGGGTTTAAACTGTCCTAACTGCCTCTCCTGAACTTCCAGGAGTGCAGTACTGCCTAGCTGAAGTGTCTGAGAGCAAAGAAAACAGAATTCAGAGCTGTTGGTGTAAGGCAAGATTTCAAAGAGCAGGTTATGCTGGAGCCATTATCTTGAAAAATGGTCAGGAAAAGTGGTAGACCTATTACAGGAATAGGTAGGAATAGTGCTTGGACCAGAGTGTAGGAAGGACAGCATTAAGATTTGGGAACACTGTCAAGAACTTTACCAGCTGAACAGACAAAATAGGAAAATCCAGAATCCGAAATGCCCTGAAATAGGAAGCTTTCTGAGTATCATATAGATATCAAAAGTTGTTTTTTTCAGTCTCGGATTTTTTTGTTTTTGTTTTTGCTTTTCAGAGACAGGGTTTTTCTGCATAGACTTGGCTGACCTGGACATACTTTGTAGACCAGACTGGCTTCAGAGAACCGCCTGCCTCTGCCTCCCTGAGTACTGGGATTCAGGCATGAGCCACTGCGGCCAGCTCCAGTCTCAGATGTTAGAAATGAGGGCTGTGCAACCTGACTTGCTTTTCAGAACATGCTGCATCATGTCACATAGTGGGTTCTTCTGTTTGAACTGCAGAGCTCATCAAAGGAGCACATATTCTAAACTGAAGAAAGGGACATTAACCTTAACTGAGCTTACAGCTAAAACTAGTAGTCACTGGGCCAAACCAATATTATTTTCTCTGCAAAACACCACAAGCAAACAGAGAAGATGATGACATTGCTACATTCTTCAAGTGTTCTGACCAGCTGGAATTTTGACTTTTGTGGCTCTAGTCCCAATTATGCAAGTATGTAAGAATTTTCTATACTGCCATTCACCAAATTTGGCTATCACTGGCCTAATCCTACACTGCCCTTCCTACATTCTGGTCACAAGCAACTTGCCCTCCCTGGAATGGCTTACCATTCCCATATAGGGCCAATGCTTTCATTATCCATTTTTCAAGCCACAACTCCATCACCTCTTTGAAGTCTTTCTGTCCCTGTTCATACACTGATCTGACAGCACTTCTAAGTCCCCTCCAGGTCCTATGACATTTCATTTAAACAGCTCAAGAAAATGATCAGAGTAACATCAGGAGCTAAAACTCTCCTTTTGAGAGGAGGTTCTTTATTTTGACAGGAGTCTTGCTAGGTTGAGCAAGATGGCCTGTAACTCCTGGGCTGAAGTGATCCTCCTGCCTCAACCTCTCAAGTAGATGGGACTACAGGTACATAACAGCATGTCTATCTAAATACTAAATCATACTTTTTAAAGTGTGTGTGTGTATATGTATGTAAGTATGCATGTGTCTGTATGTTTGTGTGTGTATGTATGTATATTGTGTGTATGTATGCGTGTGTGTGCGCGCCTAAGTACATGCACTCACCTGCTGGTGATTAGGAAAATGTTCCATGGCCTTGAGCAGCAAATGGGTCACGTCAGCGAGGAGCCGGACAGGCATGCCTAAAGCAAGGTCCTGTTTAGTTAAGTTAAACACACAGGCACTTGCAGCCAGTTGCACAGGTAAATTCATAGGATGGTTTCTCATCCCAGTAACCACAAGCTGAAAAAAGAAAAAAGCAATTAGTCCTCTTAATTCACCTCATAAACATAAACCCTCAGCATAGAATGAAGCCTCTTTGTGGCTCCAGAATAACTTCAAAGACATGTTCATATGTAAAGAGCCTAGGCCATTTTTATTTTCAATTCTCAAACATCCCTTCCCTTGACAGTGCTGAATACAGTATAACCATCCTCTTCCTGGACTAGACAATCATTCTTCACTTGTCCTCTTTCCCTTGAAAGTGCTCTCCAATCTTCAATTCAGCTAAAAACTTAGCTTTCTTTAAAGTTTATTTTCTAGGAGTTGGAGAGATGGCTCAATGGTTAAGAGTACTGTCTGCTCTTCCATTCCTGTGTTCAATTCCCAGCAACCACCTGGTGGCTCACAACCATCTATAACATGATCTGATGTTATCCCTCTTCTGACATGCAAGTGTGCATGCAGGTAGATTTAAATAAATCTTTAAAAAATTATTTTATAGCTGGGGAGTGGTAGAGCCCACCTTTAAAGCTGGCACTTGGGAGGTAGAGGCAGGTGGATCTCAGAGTTTAAGGCCAGCTTTGTCTACACAGAAACCCTGTCTCAAAAAATCAAACAAACAAAACCCCCAAAATCTGTTTACTGATGTATGTGCCCACAGAGGCAGAAGAGGGTGTTGCTGAAGCTAGGGCAGTTGTGAGCTGCCTGCAAATGCTCTTATTTAACCACTGAGCCCTCAGTCCAGCCCCGAAAAACCTAGCTTTCAACCGCACGAAGCAAAAACTGAAGTAACTGGAAAAGAGCTATGCCATGTATTCTCCTTACCAGGATACAGACATACACGTTACCTTGCCAACCCAATGATCTTTGCCAGCCTCTCTAAAGCTGATCCCTCCATGTATGTCAGGTCATTTCCATGTCTGTCAACTCAAGGAAATGATTGTTTCTATGTCATTTTTAAAATCCTGAACTGGAAAGATCAGCATATTTAAAAAGCTACTTTTTTACCTATTAAAAAAAGAGGGAGCAGGGCGGGCATGGTGGCACACTCCTTTAATCCTAGCACCCAGGAGGCAGAGGCAAGAGGATCTCTGTGAGTTCAAGGCCAAGCTGGTCTACACAGGAAATGCAGAACAGTCAGGATCACACAGAGAAACTGTCTCAAAAAACCTAAAAGGGAGGTGGGGTGGGAGCATTGCTCATGCTTGCAATTCGGGCACGCAGGAGGTTGAGGCAGAAAGTTTTTTAAATTTGAAGCGAAGCTGAGTGACATAGAAAGATCCCATCTAAAAATTAAAAAAAAAAACAAACCCTCTCCTTTAATGCTGTTTTCTTAATCAATTGCCATTTTTTTATTTGCTTTCTTTTACAGCAAAACTCCTTATATGAATGAGCTTTAATCTCTAAATAAATGAGTAAATACTTCAAATCAGGACTAGAGATCTAATTCTTTGTGCTCAGTTTCATAGAAATCAAAACTGGAGCTGGGCAGTGGTGGAGCATGCATGCCTTTAATGCTAGGACTTGGAGGCAGAGTCAAGCAGATCTGAGTTGGAGGCCAGCCTGGTCTACAGAGTGAGTTCTATGACAGCCAGGGCTACACAGAGAAACTGTATCCTGGAGAAAAAGAGAGAGAGAGAGAGAGAGAGAGAAAGAGAGAGACAGACCAAAACTTGAAGGAAAAAAAAGGACAAAGCAACTACCAGCACCTACTAGTTTATATGGAGGGAGTGACAGATAATAGTGAAAATAATAAAATGTTACAGTTCCTATCCAAGTAATCCACTGAAAAATTTAAGATATTTTAGGAGATCAAATCAGTTCTGGCTCTGCCACTGACTTATGGTTTCCTAACCTTATAGGCCCTCAAGTTTCACAATCTGTAAAACAAAAAACAAAAATTTACCTCTTTGGATTGTGCCCACTAAATGAAGTATGAAATAAAGTCTTCCACTCACAGGATTTCAAAACTAAATGTGCATAAAAGTTATCTTGGGGCCAAGATCCCTGAGGCCCATATAGCCTTAAGAAATCTAAATTTCTTGTGTTCATAAATGTTAGTTATTATTATTTATGAATGTTTGTGCTAGAGATCAGACACCAGTACTCTGCCACTAAGATACACACACACACACACACACACTGGGCAGAGTAAACATGCTCTTCTAATTACCCACCATCTCTTTCTTGAGACAGGGTCTCACTAAATAGCCCTGGCCAGACTAGAACTTGCTCTGTACGCCAGGCTGGCATTGAACTCAAAGAGATCTGCTTGCCTGTGCCTCACAAGTGCCAGGGTTAACCGCACACACCCACACGTGACTTTAAATTTATTTTACCTATATGTGTATGGATGGTTAAGCTGTGTGCATGCCTGATGGGTTACCTGGAACTAGAGCGATGGATGGGTGGATGGCTGTAAGCCACCAACTGCTGGGAATCAAATCTGGATCTTCTGTAGAAGCAACAAGCACTCTTAATGCTGAGCCATCTCCCTAGCCCAAGCTCTCCTTATGAAGCCTAGGCTGTGCCCAAACCTGCTGTGTAGCTCACCTGGAGTGAACCTGTAATCCTGCCTCGGCCTCCGGAACGCTGGAGTTGAACCTAATGCTACCATGTCCAGCTGAATACACCTCTCGCTCTCCTTCCAACACGTGAGTTCTGGAGATGAAACTCAGTTCCTCGGGCTTAGCAGCAAGCTCCTTTACTTGCTGGGCCATCTTACTCCCCACAATATTCCTTTTTTGTGTCATTCTAAGGGTTGAACCCAGGACCACACATGTGAGAGGCAAGAATCTGAACAGTGTGTTACACACACATATCTATAGTAATGTAACCTTTTTTTTTTTTTTTTTTTGAGACAAGGTCTCACTGTGTAGCTCTGGCTGACCTGAAACACACTATATAGACTGGGCTGGCCTCAAAGTCACAGAGATCCACCTGCCTCTCCCTCCTGAGTGTTGAGATTAAACGGTGTATGTCATTATATCTAGCTTAGTATGTTTTCCTTAGACAGGGTCTCACGCAGCAGAAACTTTCCTTCAACTTATATGTAGTCAAAGTTCCCCTTGAACTTCTGATTCTCCAAAGTTGGGGACTATATTGTAGGCATGTGCCACCATGCCAAGTTTATGGTGTTAGGGATTAAAGCTACGGTCTCATGAATCCTAGGCTCGACTCTACCAACTGAGCAACATCTGTAGCGCTTACCTTATGGAAATCTTTGTTTCTGGAGATGTGAGGTGTGTGTGTGAATGGTGCATTGCATATGTGTACACAGATACATGGAGGCTGGCGGCAGCCATGCAGCAGAAGGAGCTGCAGGCAGTACTGCAGCCTGAAGAGAACAACTCATCAGGTGGTCAGCAAAGCCACGATGAGTATACCTTGGAGAAGCAAAGGCCCACGGGTCCTGTGTCCAGAAGAGCCTTTGCTGCTACGAGCCCTTACTGCATTTGCTGCTGCCCTGGTCACCCTGTCTTTTGCCTGGCATGAACATCCTTGTGGGGGTTTACTTCCCCATGGGGCAATGTAATCACAATGCATCACAGCAGTGACCTCTCAAAAAGCAGTGCTGCTCAGATTAATGACTTAGCTGAAGATTTCTGAGAAAAATTAAGGTATACCTATGGTTAAAAGAATGGGTCAAGGTGCTTTTTATGTACAACTAATTAAATCAAGTCAGGGTGTTTTGCCAGCTGCTTTGTAGCAGAAAACCTAGGGCATAATATAAAAATTTAAACACACACACACACACACACACACACACACACACACACACACACACA